AGGTACGGAAAAACATGTACCCCTTTTTTGTGGAGACATGCCGCTACGACCGCCATGCATTTTGTAAAGACCCTGGGTGCTGTTGAAAGGCCAAATGGAAACACTGTAAATTGGAAGTGACATCGGGAAACAATAAAACGTAGAAACCTCCTGTAGCTGGGTCTTATTGCCACATGGAAGTAACTTGAGACCGAGAGTTGCGTACCAGTCTCCTAACTGTAAAACCGGGATAACCGAGGCCAGGATTACCATTCTGAACTTGGATTTCACCAGTCTTGTTGAGGTCCCTGAGATCTAAGCTGGGATGAACCCCACCCTTGGGTTTTGGGACAACGAAATACCGGGAGTAAAACCCTGACGGAGGATGCCTTCATGAGAGGTGTCCCTGAAAAGGGATGGGGCGGGCAGGTTGGAAGGGAGCGAGCCCAGGCAGGGGATGATATAGCCATTTCTGACTATTTTTAGAACCCAGGCATCAGTGGTGATTTCTGTCCAGGCGTGGGCAAACCAGGATAACCTGGCCCCAAACGGGGGGGCCAAGGTGGGAGGCTGGTGCGCAACTCTCTAGCAGCCCGTCAAAACTGGTGCTTGGGCTGCTGGGAGGAGCCTTGACCAACCCCATGGAGGTTGTCCCCTCATGGGCGACGTCGACGACCCCTTGCGGACGAGGGGCCCGCAAGAGCCCCCGCACCTCATGGGGGGCACGAGGACGGCATCTCCAGTAATCCCCATGGGGGACCTGGGACTGCATTCTCCCTTGCTGTCTGTAGGGCAGCTGATGATGCTGAGGGGCTGGCGTGTGGATCCCCAAGGACCGGAGAGTAGACCTCGTGTCCTTAAGCGTATGGAGCCTGGAGTCCGTTTGCTCTGAAAACAAGGCTTTTCCGTCAAACGGCAGGTTCTGGATCGTGGTTTGGACGTCTGGAGGTATTCCAGACACCTGCAGCCAGGCACCACAGCACATAATCACACCTGACGCCATGGTGCGGGCCGCAAAGTCAACAGCGTCCAGGGAAGCCTGAAGGGCCGTGCGGACAATGGTTCTGCCCTCCGAAGTCATGGCTGCAAACTCCTGATGGGTCTCAGCAGGCAATTTATCCTTAAACTTATCCATGGCCTGCCAAGTATTATAAGCATAACGACTCAGCATTGCGTGCTGGTTCGCAATGCGGAGTTGCACCCCGCCAGTGGCATACACCTTACTGCCCATCAGGTCAAGGCGTTTAGGCTTCCTAGCTTTCAGGGACGGTCCCAGCTGGGGAAGCCTCTCCTTTTGAGCCACAGCCTGAACGACCAAGGACCCCGGGACAGGTTGGGAGTATAGGTGTTCGTTCCCTGACTGGGGAATGTAATAGCGCCTCTCAACTCCCTTTAAGGTAGCGGTCAGGGTCGCCGGGGTCTGACACAGGGCATTAGTAATCTTGGCCATGGTTTTATTAAGTGGCAAAGCCAAACGGGCGGGCGCATCATCCGAGAGGATGTCAATTATGGGATCCGTGTCCTCCACTACTGGCTCCACTGGGACACCCAGATTGGAGGCCAGACACCTAAGCAGAGCCTGATGAGCTCTAGCATCCATAGTAGGCAGTGCTGGTGCGGGATCCACCAAGGCTTCATCAGGAGACAATGATGACGATGATTCCTGGACAAGTACCGGATCCAGTGTAGGGCCCGGTTGAAGAGCCAGCTGGGCAGGCGGCACCGTTTGCAGAAGCGGCTCTGGCACTGAGGCCTGTGGCTCAGCAGCGGCATCTGTAGCAACCGACCTCAGGGGGGAAAAGAGGGGGTTGTGACAGTGACGCCAACGGGGCCGACGGTTGCGCTCAGTGCCCCGACCCACCAGACACCACAGAGGAGGGCACAGGCCCCTGCCACTGGTGGTAAGCCCACGGCGTCCAGAAAGGCCATTGCGGTTGAGGCGGCCAAGTTTGCTGCACCTGCAAACGATCACGCTGGGGCTGAGAACGGGATCTATGAGTCGAGGAAGCTCCCGAGGACTCCGACCTGAATGACGCCCCATCAGAATCCGACGAGTAGTCCGACTAAGGCCAGGGAGTTGGAGATGACGAACGCCCTGCCACCAAGTGGGGGGCAAACTTGGCCATAAATTCGGATTTGCCCACGTGCACGCGATGAGGGCATGCCAGCACCAGGAAAACCGGTCCCGGTGCCGTTTGCGGTGCCTGTTGCGGCACCAGGAGGACGGGTCCCAGTGCCGGGAGCGGAGCTGGTTGCGGCACTGGGAAAACCAGTCCCGGTGCCGGGAGTGGAGCGGTGCCAGGAGGACAAAGCCCGGTGCCAGGATTGGAGCCGGTTGCGGTACCGGGAGGACAGGTTCCGATGCAGGTTGTGGTGCCGAAGTCGGAATCGGTAGCGAGACGAACCCCGAAGAGGCCAACGTCACCGGTGATGGCGGCACCGGCATGGCCAGGGGTCGATGCCGGTGCCTGTAATGGTGCCAAAACTTGCATCGGTCTGAAGAGGCTGATGCTGAAGGGCCTGGTGCCAACGACTGAAACGGCACCCCGGGAAAGCTGCTCAGTGCTGGTACCGATGATGGTGCCGTAGACGGTGCCGCAAGGCCTGGGTGATACGGAACTGGTGCAGCCAAGACAGGGCCTGGAAGAGACCCCAACATCGAGGGAGGTCAACTCCAGTCAGGCACCGAGTGAAGCCTGGTGGCCTGCATCGAGGCCGGCACTGATGTGGAGGCAAATGGTACTGGTCCCACAGTACCGTCTGGTCGTGCCGGTGCTGAGGCGAAACTGGAGCCAACACGGCCTCCGGTGTAGGTGACCTCAACCTCTCCGCCTCAACCGACGACAGAGGGGAGGTAGTGAGGCTAATAAGATCATGCACCGCCTCAAAAGTGTCCGGCGTGGAAGGGTGGTGCGAGGGCAGTTGCCCCGGACTGGATGGGCGCCCCGCTCGCTTACACCACACCATGATGAGGATGTGTGCCCCGGAGACTCAGCACTGCGGTGTAGGCCCGACTTGGACTTCCAGCTTGGAGACCTACCACAGGACGCTCTTGACCTCTTCGGTGCCAGGGAGTGAGACCGGTGCCGAACCCTCGACACTGAGGCCTGGTCTCGAGATGGTGCATCACGCGTGGACGCCGGTGCACTGTGCACCGCAGAATGTCCAGCTGGTGCTAGCTGTAAAGCTGGCTCCATGAGAAGTTTTAGACAAAAGTCTCTCTCCCTCTTAGTGCGCGGCTTAAACAACTTGCAGATCTTACAGGCGTCTGTAAGATGGGCCTCACCCAGACACTTCAGACAACTGTCGTGAGGGTCTCCTTCGGGCATAAACTTTGCACAGACAGCGCATGCCTTAAAGCCTTGGAGCCCTGGCATTCCTCACCCCTGAAGGGGGAGAAGAAAACAAAGAGACACTAACTATCTAACTAATTGAACTATTTAGAACTATCTACAATGCTAAGAGAAACGAAAACCATTAACTGAACTAACAGAGAGACACGCTCCAACGACTGTCACGGGCAGTAAGAAGGAACTGAGGGTATGTCTACACTACCCCACTAGTTCGAACTAGCAGGGTAATGTAGGCATACCGCACTTGCAAATGAAGCCCGGGATTTGAATTTCCCGGGCTTCATTTGCATAAGCGGGGAGCCGCCCTAAGAGAAACGAAAACCATTAACTGAACTAACAGAGAGACACGCTCCAACGACTGTCACGGGCAGTAAGAAGGAACTGAGGGTATGTCTACACTACCCCACTAGTTCGAACTAGCAGGGTAATGTAGGCATACCGCACTTGCAAATGAAGCCCGGGATTTGAATTTCCCGGGCTTCATTTGCATAAGCGGGGAGCCGCCATTTTTAAAACCCTGCTGGTTCGAACCCCGTGCAGCGCGGCTACACGGGGCTCGAACTAGGTAGTTCGAACTAGGATTCCTATTCCAAACTACCGGTACACCTCGAGGGTTTGAACCAGCGGGGTTTTAAAAATGGCGGCTCCCCGCTTATGCAAATGAAGCCCGGGAAATTCAAATCCCGGGCTTCATTTGCAAGTGCGATATGCATACATTACCCTCATAGTTCGAACTAGCGGGGTAGTGTAGACATACCCTGAGGTAGGGGAGCGCCAGCAGGGGTACTTATGCCACTCCAGGGGGCGCCCTGCTGGTGCTATGGGTACCGCTAGGGAAAACGCTCCGGAAGATGCAGTTTATGCGGTGTGCACACCTAATTCGAATGGACATGAGCAACCACTCGAAGAATAAACAGCTATACAAACCTGTGCCCTAATGAGGAAACTGAGGATAGGCAATAGCTTCAAGGGTACAAGTATGCAGTTCCCAAAAGCTGACAAAGACCAGGAAAGACAAGGTCTTGTTTATGAGGGAACCTAAGGTTCTGAATGGAGAACATGTCTTTTTAATTCATCTTTGGACAAGGGCTTCAGTAACCAATTGTCTACGTAATGGAAGATAAAAATCACTTGCCTCCTTACATACTTATCCAAGCTAGGCATTTGGTAAAATCTCTGGGTTTAGTGAAGAGGCCAAAGGGTAAGGCTTCTACTGGAAATATTCTGAAACAAGAGCATGTTCTCTCTCCCTTCCTTTTTTTTTTAAATACAGATTTCTAGCTCTCATAGTTATGTGCAGATAGCACAAACCAAGGTTAAACCAAAGCATTCTGTCTTGCTAAGCCATCAGACCACTCCATTGCAGCTGACTCACAGGTTCCACAAGCCACAGCCAATAATACTGTCAGTTTTCATTTCCATTTTTCAGATGAATGTTGGCAGCAGTGAAATCAACAAAAATCACCTCAACTTAATTTTGTTGCAGCTTGGAAAAGCTCAGTGCAACAGAAAACACAGCAACTACTGAAACTATTCACAGAGCAGTATATGAAGTCTTACGATCATAGAATGCTAGAAACGGAAGGAACTTCGAGAGGTCATCAAATCTAGTCCCCTGTACTCACAGCAGGACCAAGCACCATCATCCCTGACAGATGTGTATCTAACCTGCTCCAATAGGACTACCACTACCTGAAAAAGAAAAAGAAAAAGGAAAAGTATATTGTAATTCCGACTCTTAAGAGGCATCTCTTCTGAAATTTACCACTACTGGTAAATTTTAGCACCAATGGTTAAAGAGTCCCATGGAAGGCTTTCAAATGCCTATAACCAACAACAAGGAGAACTGCACTCTCCTCCCATATTTTCTACCACAGCCTCCAAATACAAGCTTGTTCCTCCCAAGATTCTTGAACATCCTTGCTAACCATATTATTAATCCATTTCCTCAAAGTTTCATCTCTCCCCATCTTCCCATATCCCTGATATCCAACATGACTCACCACAGTATGTCCAAAATACAGGCAGTGAATCAGGCAGGCAGAGTCAAAACAGAATTAGCTGATGGATAGCAGCAGCTGTCAGTTAAACTGGACAGAACTGCATTAGGTTATGACCAGGACTTGAAAACGTCACCTAATACCTCCAGGCAAAGTCAAATATATCTGTGTTCTGGGCTATACTCCCTCCTGATTGGGCACAAGAATTTTAGGGATACCTAAAGAACTAAGGATGTGAAAGGTTAACCCTTAAGCATCATGCTTAATGGGTGATGCTTACGGGTTCCAGTTAATCAGTGGGGGCTGTCATAAGGATGTTAAATTTAGATTCATCAACTAATCCAATTGATGTAATTTGCATCAACTATTCAATTAGTTGATAAGGGCACCTCTGCCCTTGAAATATAGCAAGAGCCCTGCCAGCTCATGCTACATTTCAAAGGCAGAAGCGCCACCAAGAGTCTGGGGCCAGCCAGGGACTATTTGAGTCCCCAGGTTGCCCCAGGCTCCCTGTGATGCTTCTGCTTTTGAAATGTAACAAGAGCCGTGTTCTTGCTACATTTCAAAGGCAGAAGTGCTGCCAGTTCCCCGCTGCACCCCTGTACCTTTGCCCCACGGAGACAGTGCTGGGGGAGGGGGGGGACTGGCTTTTAAGATGCCTCCCCCCAGCATCAGATCCTGTCCCCCACCTTGCTGCCTCTCTCTCAGAGGCAGACAAGGTGGTGGGGGGGGAGGCGACTAGTCGAATCACTAAGCAAATGCTTATTAGATTGTCGACTAGTCACTTACATCCCTAGACTGGAGCAGTTCCTTGCTTGCCATGGGCAGGGGACTGCTCCAGCCCTATGGGGCCTGTCACAGACAGGGGGTTGCTCCGGCCATCTGGAGCTGCCTCTGCCCCCAGCAGGTCCAGGTGCCCCACAGGGAGGGACTACTCCAGGCTGGAGCAGCCCTCCAATCAGTCCCCCCTTTAATTGGTTAATCGATTAAACAGTTTAACCGGTTAACCAATTAAATGGGATTTTACATTCTTATAAAGAGCACTATCTCGTGATGGCTGACATTTGCAATCCTAATTATTGCCAGAGGCTCCATACAAATACTAAATAAATTAGTGTTGCCCCTCATCCCACAAAAAGAAAGTACGTTACCAACACCACACAAACAGATTACTACCAGACAAGCCCCTGCTCCCCTCCATAAATTCTGTCAAACACATTGTCCTTTGCTGGTGTAGTAAAAGATACAGGTTTCCTTCCTCCTGGAACAGATCTTAGTCCTACCAACCAAAGAGAAAGAGTCTGAGGAGCAGGGAGATCCCAATGAACCCAATGATCAGCAACAGCAAAGCTCCAGCTTTCCACCTCAGCAAAGGGTTCTTGGATGGGGGTGGTCTTGGGTCACCATCACTCACCCAAGCAAAAAGCTTTAGAAAATTCCTTTCTGTCTAGTAGATCTCTATTAAATAGTACCAAGAAGCCAGACAGTTTGCTACCTGGCTTTTCGGAAACACTACAAGGTGGATACAAATCAATTATTTCTTTTTTTAAAATATGACTTTTTCTAAGCTGACTATAAAACAGGTTCATTTTTAAAAAAAGGAATCTATCTTGAATTAAATTTGAAATGCTGACAACTTAGTTAAGAGGCTTACATTTACTATCATCTATTCAAATAATTTATATTAAATAATTAATGCTAAGCAGTATGTTTGCTGACCAGCTTCAAATAAGTCAATCCACAGAACTAATGGAAGTCACTGGCTAAACATCTGGAGCCATAGTCTATTGACATGTTAATCCAGATGTTGACAACAGTAACCTCTTCTGCAGATGCAGGAAGAATATTTTCTTCATTTAAGTTTATTCAACTAGTTTGTCACTACCTAAAGATAATACTTTGTTTAATAAAATCAGTTTTAAATGCAAAACATGTTTGATACGCTTTTTTTCCCTTCTATATCTTGCACATATTTTCTGTAGCTAATAATACATTTTAAAATGCTGATTTTGGTGCATTTTTAATTAAATGCACATTTTTATCCAAATGCTATTTAACATTACAGCTAAAACATTTCCCTAGCAAACAAAAAATGCATCATTCACTACTTTTTAATATAACAATGAAAAATTAAGAATTTGAATAAATGTATGCAAAGCTAAAAAAAGTACTTAACTACATGTGTATAGATACCATACATCTTCCTTGTCATCTAAAAGTAGCATCAAATTTAGTAGAAAGGCTAAATTTAGGTGCAAATCAACATGTTTTAATGTTTACCAACCAATAACAAACAAACCTTCCTTTAGGAAAACAACTAAGAGTGCAAATGCAAAACAAGATTAAAACTGGCTATTCAATTCAAGGTTTCCTGTTTCATGATTTAAATCAATCTACACTGGACACATACATTACTCTATTCTAGGGGGAAGCACTCCTCCACTGCCCTCTGCTCCAGAAGTTTGGAGGTATCCCCAATGGCAGCCAGCCCTGCTTACACTGGCTAATTAACAGCAGCCACAGCCACACGTGCTTCCCTGCAATCCAACACCAGTGGTGTCAGCTGAATTGTGTCTCTGCAGGCTTGCAATGACACTGATGCATTGCTTTAAAATTGAAGTTTTCACATATGGATGGTTATCTTCGCAACCATAGGACTAGAAATTTTTGTTGCTGTTGTTTAAGTACAGGCTTAGACTGTTGAGAAGTCGGTGACATGCATCCTGGAAAGATTTCTACTCATCATGAATATTTGGATAAGTGGATTTTTCACACCCTGGATATAAGAAGGAAAATAATTCTTCATGTGTTTAATTTTGAAATTTCAATATAGCTTATATCCACATGTGTATTTCTGAAGTTTGGCATTTGTGGTGGTGATAGTCATTTAAAAGAAAGCATAATGGAGAAAATACTAAATTTACAGTGGTACATTGTAAGATGATTCATAGCCAAGAGTTAAAAGATGTTACTGAAAAATGGACACAGAATATTCAACCATCCTCAACCATTTGCGTGTGTCAAATCTAGAGCCTCAATTCAAAGGGGAAAAAAAGGAAATGTATTCCTTCTTTAAGTGTAAATCATAGCACAACCTTAAGTATGGAGTCACTACAAATGCCGCCATAATATATCACCCCAACTGTACCAATTGCTTTAATATAAAGAAGAGAAAGCGATCTAAATAAATTCCACTTTACTGAAACATTTTTTAATTTCTATGCTGAAAAAAAGTAAGCATCCTTTTCTCACTTGGTCATTTTGTTCCTGGACAGCCAAAATTACTTAGGTTTAACTGACAAATAGGCCACACTGAGTAAAAGACAATAGCTGAACATCTGTTACATGCAGAAGTTCCCAAAATGCAGTCCATAGAGAGCTGGCTGATTACGTGATGCTGGCTCTCTCTCATTTCCAGCTGGTAAACTGCATTAAAAGCAGCTTAAAAAATACATTAAATACTTTCCCAATATCACTTTTCCATGTAAGCAACTGCTATCATTACCCCAGGGATGTTATAGAATCATGAGAGCAAAGGAACTTGGTCTGCACAAATGTGAACAGGATAAGTGGTGATCCAAGAGAATCTGTATTAAATATGGCCCTTGCTACAAAGTAGCTTGTGAAACAGCATGTTGAATACCTCACTAATTACTCATTATTATCTATAGTCATTGTGTTTATAACAGCAGACAATTTTACAAATGTATGATAACAGTTCAGTATGGTCATAAGCAGGGCTCGCCAAGCGGCGGCGAGCCCCACTCGCCAGCCGTACGGTTCGGCACGCTGCACATGCACAGACCGCGCTGCGCAGCTGTGCCATCCTGTAATCTACTCGCCACGGGCAAGTAGATTACACTAATTGTCGAGCTCTGGCCATAAGACTCAAAAACTGATACATTAATTTTTGATTGTTAATGAGAATGTGGAAGAAACTGTGGAGTACAGAACTTAAACATTTCCAAGAACACACAAGAACTTTCTAGCAATTGGTAGCATTTCTTATTTGTGAAATGAGATTATAATGATCCTGCATATTTCACAATTACTGTCATACTGATGAAATCATAGTGTACATTCTTCCATGTTGAATAAAAACATTACAAGATGGCATGCATATTTTACCTGCTATTACTTCTTATCTACTATATATTTGAAAGAGTTTGTCTGTCTAAGCGTGTCTATCTAGCTATTTGTTCAAGGACTCTTCTTAGATATTAAGAGCTAGGAACACCAAACTTGGCATACAGCTTCCTCTTAACATAACTTAAAGCAAGGCAAGGGTTTGGTTGTGCCAGGAAAATTGGATTGCTTCTTATAGAACCATACAGAAATGAGACAGTCACCAAGCAGGTGAAGGGATTGTCTGGAGGTACCCTCCCATACAGGCATGCCCCAGCTGGAAGCCTCCCAGCACTCAGGCATCCTGAGAAATTATCAAACTTCCTTCAAATTATTATCGGTGAGGTGACAGCACAACCAATTAAGATTACCCAGCACTTCCCACTAAAAAACTCCATTTTCAGTTGCTTATAACTTTACTGAACTGTAGCCCTTTAAACTGAAATATTTTGTTCTGGGTATTTGCCTCTGGCTGAATTTTTTTTGAAGCACACAACTTGAAATTTGCCTCTCTGTCAGGAATGTCTCTTGCCATCCCCATGAAAATCCACCCAAATGTGGATAAGTTATTGCCTTTGAAAATTCCCAATTTGCACATGGTCAGTCAACACTTGCCAGAATTTCATAGCTAAATTCCTTGAGGATTCCTTCTGCCTGGGCATGCCCAAGCCTGGGCCTAAGCAGGACTTTCCTTGTAACTACAGCATTGGCCTAACACCAGGACTCAGAACAGGGAGTCTGTGTCTCCTGTGCTCTCAATGACTTCCCTGCTGAGCCCAGGGAGCACAGAAGAGGAAACTGCCAGATTCAACTGCAGATGGGACAAGAGTCAGATGTTTGGGAGT